TTTGGCATACCTCAGAAAAAATGGATGTTTGTGTGTGTTTTGTGTCCGTATTTTTTCGTCCACGTTTTTGGGCGCACGGATGAACCGATTTCAATGGTTTAAAAACACTCGAATCCTTTTGATAGGGAGATGTGCTGATTAGTTTTTGGCAAATGCAGATCCAGCCGTTTAGGAGATACAAATTTGAATGATCTACTAAGCATCTGATTTGAATTATTAAAAAACCTTTCTACGTGTATTGAATAAACGATCGCTTTTGTTTTTTTTTTTTTAATTTAAATTTTTTTTCTTTTTTAATATCAAAATAGGTTTGAATTTTAAGTTCAATTCCAACTAAAGATCTAAAGCTCATATCTTTTATCTTTGCAATTCAGTTTGAATAATTCTTAAAAATATTACAGAACTTCATGTTAAATGATCATGATCAAGATTTACTTATTTTTTAAATTTTATTTACTTTCTGTAAATCTATGTAAGTTACAGCATTTATAATAATCTATTTGAAAACATTTAATAATCCTCGAATGCTTTATTAGAGTACGGAAAATTCCAGCAATTTGCCTTAAAGCACGATGCCATACTCCACTAGTTTACTTCAATCCCAAAAATTTTCAATCACGTCTTCATTTTTTCAATACAAGTAAAATGTTTTCTGAATCATTCAAATCAAACGCTCCGTTCTTTAAATAACCTGTATTATCATTTTTGGCACTTTTTGCCCCGTATTTTCGAGAAGGCTGGACCTGCCTTGGTCAAAAACGAATCAGCACATCTCCTTATAAATAGTAATCAAATGCTTTCCAAATCATAGAAATCAGGTGATTCGTGTTCTCGAAATCGTGGACGAAAAATGGTATCCAAACATACATATATACAATGTGTGTACGCATAGATCCATTGTTTTCTAAGGTATGCCAACATGTTCAGAATCATTTGAAACGTTAATATATGTAAAAAATCATTTTAATTAATTGATAACAGTTACAAAATATTGCTAGTCATATTAACTAATGTATAAGTTATAAAATAAAATAAGTAGAAAAGATTTCATATGGCAGTATAAACTTCTATAGATTATCCAAAAGAAAAAGTACAGTACATTTTTTTAAAATTTTTATATAATATCACATACGATTTGAATTTAACGAAAAGTTAAACAAAATTGAATGAATGGAATTGTACAAAAATTCAAAATAGTATCAGACAAATTTCTATCAGTTCTTATGGCATTTATGCACAAAACTTTAAAAACATTGTTTCATAATTTTGATAGGTAATTTAAAAAGATTTTGGAAATTACAAGAATAACCCGAGCTAGAAGTTAAAATGTAACTTAATATAGGCACAAAATATTATTTAATTTATTGTCGAATTATAATTACCAAAATCAATTGAATGTGATAAGCACATTGAAAAAACTAATTTTTTCGAGTACATGAATTTTTAATGACATACATAAAAATAATTATTAACGACAACAATACCAAACGACGATTAAAAATTAACTGAATTTAATTATAAATTAACAATGTTATAAAGCAAACATATTTATATCGGTAATGAAAATTGTTACGCAAATTTATCGCCTATATATTTTCATTCATTTAGTCATAAAATATAAAAAATATAAAGCTTTCAATTCAATCATGAAGTATATACAAAACCACAGGTATTTTAATTACTACGTTTTACCGAACGATAGATAATTATTTTGCCGTAGTATAATTTCATCGATAATTACAGGTTTCGAAATTTACGCACTATTTTGCAAAGGCTGATGTGATTTAGTTTTAATAAATTTAATTTGGTGCTATATAATATCTGGTACGGTTGTTTATGAAGAGTAATTTGATAATGATTACAATTTAGAATATATGTAAAATTAATATATACTTTTAATTTTTTTTTATTTTTTCAACATCAGTTTGGATTGAATGATTGAACATAAATATTTGTAACCAGAAATATTGCAATTGTATAATTTAAAAAAAATATCTATTTTTATATAAGATATCTTTTCAAAAGCTTAATTACTATTACATAATTAAATTATGTAATAATTATGTAAATATGTATTAACGATATAAAATTGCAATTAAAAAAAACTCAATTCTGAAATATTTATTATCCCAAATATGAAAACAAATTCTTTAAAGAAAAACCTATATATATAAATGGAAAAAAATTAGATCCGAGTTAAAGAAATAGTTTTGTATTTGTAATCAGAAACCCAGATACAATCCAAGTTAAAGTTTTAAAACATATTAGGATAGAATTCCGAATCCGAATCCGAATCCAACCCCAACGAAATATCTTCTGGGCGTCTTGTTAGCAAAGTTCCTAACTCATGTGTCATGTCAGTGTACAAACTTTATCATTAAATAAGTAAATCGTATTAAGCGGTATCGCAAAGGACTGCCACAATGTAATAATTCCTTTGCTTAAACGATTATTCGCGAATAAATCACACAATCTTATAATTAATGCCGAGAGACGAAGAAATAACTAGACATTCAGTTGATTCGAGATCCTTATTATTAGAGGACTCAATTATAAAACAGCGAAAGCAAAACGCGAATCATTAAAATTACAGATAAAAGTGTCTTTAATAATCAGGTTTTTGTTATTCAGTTTTTGTAATTTATTATTTCTATTTGCATGAACATTTTTATATTCAATTTGATTTTACTATTTTACTATCTTAAATTAATACTATTTAATCTACCCAAAATAATTATTAAAATCGTCAGATACAAACAGGCTATCGTTTGAAATAATTAATCAAACTATAAACGAAACTGACTAATTGAATTAAGTTAAATCTAAATGGAATCAATTGATTAATTAATGCCTACATTTATATATATCGACAACTGATTACAGGTATTTCCATTTGGTATTGGTGTGATTGACATAATTCAATTATAGCAACTTATTTGTTCAGTTGCAATAAATTTATTGCCCATATATGCATGTAGATATATATAAAAACATATGTGTAAATGAAGATTATAGATAACTAGAATTTCATAAAGTGAAATTATTTATTCGCGTATACAATAAATTAATAAATAAAATGAGTGTAAATTATCAGTATGCTCAGACAGATATCACGTATATTTTAAATTTATAGCAACTTGCTAATTTTATTAAACTGTTCTTACAAAATTGTTCAATTATATATATATATTCGAAGGTAAACATTAAAATAAAAATATAAAAGTACATGTTCCAAAAAATCTAAACTTTATATAAAATATATATATATATATATATATATATATATATATATATATAAGACCCATAAAGTTTAAAATAATCAAAAGCAAACTTTTACAACTCAATTTCCACCCTACATCGCAAAATTACTTCATTTATACCTTACATACAGCAATTTGACCGTACAAGTAGACAACATACATTCGACAACTAAAGAAGACGGCGGGAGAACCGCAAGGCTTCATTCTGGGGCCATTACAATGTTTACAAACACTACATATCACGACGATAACAAAAATGACCAACATCAAAATTAACTCATCGCAGATATTCAATACCACGTATAGTGTAAGACTAAAAAAAAAATGTGGATACAAATTTTTCGTCCAACGTTTTCGGGCGCACGGATCAACCGATTTGAATGGTTAAAAACATTTGATTTCTATTGGTAGGGAGATGTGCTGATTAGTTTTTTGTGAAGGCAGGTTCAGTTGATTCGGTGATACAGCGCCAAGAGTGCAGAAAAATCAAGTTTTTGAAGAATTAAGAGAACGGAGCATCCGATTTGAATGATTTAAAAAACATTTAATTTGTAATGATCGGGTGAAGTGGTGATTAGTTTCTGGCAAAGGCAGGTCCAGCCGTTTCGGAGATAGAGAGCTAACAGTGTAATAAATGGCAATTTTTGAGAGAGCAAAGCCTACAATAATTAAAGGTCAATCACAGGGATTTCTTTCAAAATACCACTGTTATTATTCTAAAACCAATTATCCAATAGACAGATTTTCATTGAGAAATAAAATCAAATTTTTATGGCCAAAAATTTGAATGATTCAAGAAATTAAGAAAACACAGTAATAGGTAAATTAAGTAAACAAAATAACTGAAACTTTTTTTCAGATTATAAATTCAACGGTTTTTTGTTTGTACCTTAATAATTCTTGAAACAAAATATCTAATAATATTCTTTCACATCACTAATTATCTTAATTCTAAGCTTTTCCAACAGTAATATGCAAGAATCAAGGTATACCTCCTCTAAAATAATATGTCGTTATTTAAATAACTTCTTTTTCTGTAATAGTATGTAGCATATTTTCGAATATACACTTAATATTTATTATTTCTTTCATAGATTTTTTACGATACTTAACTTTTAACTTAGTCATCGAAACGAAATTTACACAACTGCAAGTGCCATTTCGTTATGAATAATCAAACATATTGCGTAGTTTGTACATAAAACCGCTAGTAATAATGAGTAATAAATATTAACAAAGCACGTTGATGTACAACAAATTATATTCTTTTGCGTCACTAATCATCATATAATTTTCACAACTAATACGTCCAACAGATAAATATAAGAACCAAAGTATATCTAGAATAACAGAAACGATCTCTTCCAGATTATCGAGCAGGATTTCATTTGTATCTCTACGAGATGATATCAAATGATATCTATTAATACTCTTTTACGTCACTAATGATCTTAATTTAAAGCTTTGTTTTTCCAATATATAAGAATCAAAATATATCTCATTTGCAATAACCGAAACGTTCCTTTCCGGATTATTAATTAAACAGGATTTCGTTTGTACCTCTACGAGACGGTTTACGGCAATGACGCTTCCGTGCAATAATAGAACTAATACATAACACAGAATTCGGCTATACATCAGCGTGAAACAAACAGTTGAATATGAAATGCCGCTAATTGGAATGCGGCTGAATATTGTAGTAAAATAGCCTCGTAGGGAAAATAGGCGAACTAGACTTACCCTCGACACTGACGCAGGGCGTTAGAGGCGGATGGAACATATCCGTCAGCCGTCTAATAACGTCGATTTGTTCCAATGTTATTTGCACTGCATCCCGATGCTGAGCCTCGCATGGTACGTACGCTGCCCAGAACTGTAAATAAAGGAAAACAATGTTAGTAATGGATAATTAGATCTAAACTGTCGATGTACAATGACAAGGTCATCCTCAAACCAGTTTGGATGTATGGCATCCATCTATGGGGTGCTGCTAAAGTCAGTAACATACATATAATGCAACGATTCCAAAATAAAATACTCAAACAAGCAATATTCGCGCCAAGGTATGTACCGACATAGTTAATTCATCAGAACATCGATACACTCACAATTACTGAAGAAATTAAAAAGAGTGCCCTTAACTTCAAGAGTAAAATTGACCATCATTCAAACGAACTGATAGCAAGTCTTTACAACACCACATATAATATAAGACTAAGAAGAATGCAATTAATAGATCTAACAATTTAATTAATAATAAGTTGTTCTACCATATTATCTATGATAGGTGTATGTATGTGTATATGTAGTCTGTGTAATGTACTTTGATTATAATTGTATGTATATATTTGAGTTTCTTTTTTTCTTCATAATACCAAAATTCAAGATATAATTTAGTGCATTAATATAAGGTGAACCATTGGGTTTTCATTTTAAAATTTTATGTTATTTGTCAAACTAATTACTCAATGTCTTGCTATTTAGACAGATTGTAATTTATAAGAAAAAACAAAAGTAATGGATATTTATATCATTTTACATAATATTTCTATGGTATACTGTTTAGTTAAGTACTCTTTGTTAGACATTACTTGCTTCGTTAGTATTTATTATTAATAATAATTATAACAGTTTTTATGTAAATTACGTAATATGTTTGATTATTCATACACAATATTGTTATACCTTGTAGTATATTCTTGGTCATACAATGCACATGTATTGATAACTTTATCAAAACCAAATAGGAACTAAACAAAATATTTGTTCGTCATCCATTGTTTTTCTAGAAATTCTACATACACTCAAACAAACAATAAACAACGTAATAAAATATTTAGTTATCTTAAAATGATTAAGTCACCCTGCTTAAAAATAATATGTAATGCCTTGTAATGACACTGTTGCAGTTGAGTAATCAGTTAGTTGTAGACATGTAATCAGTTCAATTACAGTTTTCAGTTCAGTCGTAAAGTTATGGTTAAGTTGCATTAAATAAATCTTATGAAAGAAATCAAAATCAAAACTCTTGTTTGTTCTTATTGATCAGTGCTTGTGATGATAGTGGACCTTTTTTCACGTTTGCTGACAGCGAACCTTAATAAACTGAATTGAGTTGATTCAAATCTTGGCTCGGTGTTTTATTACATAACTCGTTGCTTATTATTTTTGTTAATTTACCATAGTAAGTTACCAGGTAAGTTGAACGTAGTAATCGCAAAACTCAAATTGCAAATGAAATTTTAGCATGTCTTTACGTTTCAAGACCTTTTGAATATTTTGTCAAACCTTAGAAACATTGGATGTATGTGTGCGTATGATGTGTGCGTGTGTTTATGTGTGTGTATGTAGATACAAATTCTGGTCGACGATTTCGAAAGAACTACTTAACCGATTTGAATGGATCAAAAAATGATTCCTAGCGACGGGTAGACGTGCTGACTAGTTTTTTGGCAATGGCAGGTCCAGGCAGGTCCAGGCAGGTCCAGGCAATTCAGAAACACGGTGTACAAAAGCAAAATGATAGTTTTCAAAAAAACTGAGCATCCAGTTAGAACATATCCAACGACATTTGATACGTATTGACGACGAGACGTACTGATTCATTTTTGGCAAAGACAAGTCCAGCCGTTTCGGAGATGGAGTAACAAATGAAAAAAGTTTTTGAGAAAACGGAATATCCAATTTGATTCTTAATTTTTAACAGGTAATTAGATGGAAAAATGTAAAAGACAGGTAGACATTTATGCTGGTTCGATGATAGTAAAATAGACAGATAACCTGGTAAAGTGAATAAATTAGGTAGACTGATAAACTAGTGGGCAGATAGACAGGTAGACGGAAATAATTGTAGTCAAGTTGACAGATGCAACTTCAAGTTCATGCAACTTGCAACTAGTTGCCAATTGCAAAATGCCGCTTACACCTAGGTTTCAATCTTAAATGAGTTCTATCATATTTATTAAAGTGATAGTTTATATTTTAAATTTGCAAAATAGTTGTATTTTATGAAAAATTAATGAAAGATTAATTCTTTAACATATTAATTCTATAATTTTCTTCTTTTATACCAAAAATTATGTTTTTTTGAGGTTATGGTTATTATATTCCAACAGAGTATTCTAATATAAATTAAAAGAAAATACTGCGCTGTCACCCATACAAAAATCTTACACTAAAGCTGAATACTCATATCTATTCTCTTTTGCATCTGCTTCTTATTTTCACTTGAAAATTCTTTTCCACTGATAAGAAAAACTTTATGACAAAGGCTTATCTTATATCAAATAGAAGTTGTGCTCTCTACGTCTTGGGAAATCAATATGCAAAAAGTTAAACAACATATATAATTCTTTTCAGAAAAATCTTGAATGATAAAAGTTTAAATTGTTAAATCAATATTATAGTACACAATTCGACTGTGATCGAATTCTTTCGTAAACACACACGTTGGGTAAAAAGATCTATCTTTTCTTATGGTTTGATCCTTGGATCTATGAAAACAAATCAATGGATCCTGACGTAATAAATTGTTGTCGGCAAACTTGTTAAACATTTTATTAATACAATTTTTATTAAATTCTACAAACTTGAATAAAATTATAATAACGGGGAGTATTAGTTGCATTCCCAATAAATGCATAATAACCAATTAAACAAACATTTTATTGGTAAACAATTTAATGAATTTAATTCGTCTGAAATCCATAGCCCTGTAACTTATCATATCGTCCGAATAAAACCCAGATATCATTTCAATGAAGATTGTCAAGATGTCAATATAAATATCATCAGACCACATTCTCGCCGCCCTAATATTTCTCTTTTGATATTTTTCTCGCGTTTAAGACTCAACCACATACAGTTAAACGACGAATATATGTACCCATAAAATAAATAAAAGCACATTGTGCCAAACAATGGAAAACAGTTGCGAGATCATTGTATTAGGATAAGACGACATGATATGCGATTTCATGAATAATACTAATAATAAATATATAGTCTCATGGGATTGATTCTGGGTTGGAGATAAGTTAGGATAAACATCTATTATAATAAAAAGTTTTTGTCCTTGTACTTATTTGATGGTAGTTATTACATGATTTGACCATCGTTACATAATACATATAGTTATAAAAATATAATATCAATAGGAATCAAATATTTTTTGAATCATTCAAATCGGTTGATCCGTGCGCCCGAAAACATGGACAAAAAATTGTATCTAATACATGAACACATACACACGCATACATACATTCATTTGTTCTAAGGTATTCCAAAATGTTCAAAAACCTTCTGAACGTAAAGATATGCAAAAATTTTCAATTTACATTTTTGGACGATTACAATAACTTAATAGAAAAGGTAAGTTAAAAATACCATAACGTGCTTTAATCCGCAAGCTTTTGTGTTCGAAATCCTCATTTTCTCGATTTATGGTTATGCCAATGGTTAACCAATCATTGATAGATGTATTGATTAACTATTATTTCTTATACGCTAACGAATCATAGGTTCCTATTCGTGTATTTTTATAGCCTTACGTATGCCTATACGTTGCATTCTATACTACACCCTTACATCTGTACCATACGCTATATTTCATCATATACTCTCAAATCCCTCATTGTATACCGAATGCACCTAACCTATATCTACTATATATCCTATTACCTATAATTTATCTTACACGCTACACCCTACCGAGAATCGAACCCGGGTCCGCCGCGTGCCACGCGACGACCTTAACCACTACACCACTGTAACGCTACGATCAATCGTCTTTTCTCGCATGTCGTCGCGTCACCTCAGTATTAATTACTCAATTAATTAGAAAATGAACCGCGGAAACAACAGTGAGTCCCATAATATATTTTCAGTGGGGGGACCCGATAGAGTAGTGGTTAAGGTGCGTGACTTCCACGCGGAGGTCCCGGGTTCAATTCCCGGTATAGACAATAGATAGGTAGAGATAATACATAGGGCGTAAGGTAAACCTATATAATATAGGTGAATATATAAATTAGACAGTAATATTTATAAGAAGTAAAAGGTATGTAGGTATATAATAAGTTAATGACGGTATAGGTATCTCACGGTATGATAGATAATAGATATCTACCTATGATATACAATAATATAGTCTAGTATGGTAGGTAATAGGTTATACTCATATTATTAGCTTAACTCTTATGAAGCTTTGTAATAAATCTTGAGTACTTTTATATCATGATAAATACCTGTAGGTATTAATGAATACAAATAATACCAGAATAAATATAATTAATGTCATTGAAGAATATAAATTATGTACTCAATGATTCCCTCATACTTGTACAATTTAATGTATAGACTAGCTGTATATAATAGAGTTAATTATATAAGAAATCAATATATTAGATTTGTAAGTTCTTATCGAAATATATCAAATTTTTTAAACCGGATTTTAAATTTTAGCGTTCCGGCAAAAAAAAAAAATTAGCTTAACACCACTGAGTACAACTGTGTGCTCCTACCCTAAAGAGAACGTTTGGGCGTTTATGTGTCATTCGGCACATTAAATGACATTCACAGAGACATCGGAGTGAACATTTTTATCAACAGCCAGTTGATCAATAAAGCCCCCGGCAGCAGTGACAGCTTCGAATGCGCCCCCACGAGTCAGACGTGAGTTAACACCGTCAGAGTCCTGATACAAGTTTGTAAACACCGACGGTGATAAAGGCTGCACATCGGGTCATTCAATACTAAAACTATATATGAGATGAGAGATTCATATTTTTTTAACTTTCTGTAGGGTAAGTTATAGTAATCGTCCAAAAATGGAAAATGAAAATTTTTACGGAACTTTACGTTTTAAAGGTTTCT